GAGACTACTGGCGTATTTCGCCGAACATAACTGATGACAATTTACAGTAAAACGGTAACGATTGAATCTAAAAGAGTTTATATAAATTCATATTACATTATTCTATGTGTTGCGACCCATTTGTGCCAATTTCTAGGTCCAAAATATTAACGATTTAGCTCCTTTAAATGATATCGCTCCTATTAAATACTTTACTCTAAAAATGTCAATACTTGGATTTTCTATAATAAAGTGAGTCTGGTAGTATATACTTAAATTGATATTTTTGTTGAAGGTGATAAAGCCCACTTCGAAATCTCACCAAAGTTCAGAATCGTAATTGACAGTTCGTCTGTCAATGACGACACACGAATAAAAGAAGTAGCGAGGCATCAGGATGGTTTTGGCTAGTTCTGAATACTTTATACAAATTTATGTAAGTGTAAATGCTAAAATCGGCGACCAATCTATCTGTAAGACGGATGACCTGACAATCTCTGATCATCATTAACAGTGTTTTTGTTAATAGATCGTTCTGTAACGTTAAACATTCTGATTAAAAGCCAAGAACGCTATGATTTGAATCATCTTAAATCTTTTGAGATCGTAAACACAGACAACGATAAATAAAATAGCATAAACGATGTAATTAGCGTTTTATTTGCTGTTATAAGTCTTAACAAAAACATTGTTTCACGACAAATATTAAATAATGAATAATAACAGATTACAAATAAAGGTTTTAAAATGCCAAAGTTGTTTTGTTTATCAAAAATTAAGATAAAACATTAAAGATGCATTATTTAAGATTAAGATCAATAGCTGGCTATAATAGTTTGAAAATAGATATTGGAAAATGAATATAACTATTGAACATTTCAGTCAAATTACTTTATTCTGAGAGAGATTATAAATGTTTGAAGTTTTGACAAGAAATAGCTTAAATTGTCTCGATTGTCAATTACTATTGCCACGATAATAAACGAAGTTTCGATTTTCATTGCTTCAATCGACAATTTTCATGAGTGGCGTCCATATTAACGTTTAACACAGTATCTGTGACATCCAATGATCCAGAGAGTTGATTATGGTCTTGGCATGCGAAAACTTGACTAAATAATAAATTATATAATGGTGGAAGCCAGCAAATAAGCATTGCAAGAGGCAAACTTAGCTCTTGCATAATGTATCTTTAATGTGTAACTTTAATCAATAAGCTAAATGTCATTTTTTTCTATATTTGAACACCCCCGATGAAACTGTCATATAAAGAAGAATAAAAAATAAAAAATTCTGACGACTCTTTAAGATAATTTATTTTAGTAAAGGTCTTTGAAATGTTAACTTGTGTGTTTATCAAACAATAGACATTAATCTAAATACGATAATTCGATTTAACAGCCATTTAATAAATAACGATCATGTATTCACCACTTTGAGCTGTACCATATAATGTTTTTGTCATTTCTAAACTACATCAGATCTCCTGATACATATTCCCGGGATGCTGCAGTAATGGGTTCTATTGCACTATTGATTCCAGATTCATTTTTTTTATGCAGAGCCAACTTAAGTCATAGATCCCCACGATCATCAATCGAATGCAATTCACCTCCAGTTTAATGGTTGCTCGCGCGTTCGATTGATATAAATATGAATGCGTTTCATTGGATCACCACAAAGTCACGTATTACAGGATTCAAATTTTCTCACAGGAATCAAGCCTTTGAAAGGGCCTTTGCCATTGTTCATAGCGGTTGAATTTAGAATAACCACAGCGTCTGTAATAAAAGGGCGGTTATAGGATCTATATGATACTAATTCCTATGGGCATTTTAAAGTGCCTTCTTAGGTGTTTAATATAGCTATCCAATAACTTGCTCAGCTAAGCTTTTCCTATAATTTCTGTTTAATTCTATTTAAAGGAGCGAAATCGCTATTCTTTTGCAACTAGAAATGGACACAAATTGGTCGCAACACATGTAATAATGATATATGAATGTATATAAACTAATTTACTTTCAATTGTTTCTGTTTTTACTGTAATTTCTAATCAGTTATGTTCGGCGAAATACGCAAAGGATGCCAATTGAATGACAGTCTTTGGCGTCTCATTATTCCAGTCTACTATGAAGTTAGACCTTAGGATAGTAGATTTTATGACATTAGTTCTCAGGTTGTTAAATATCATGATGATATATCTTTGGTTGTTTAATTTCATGATGTTAGATCCTAGTATGATATAATTTATGACGTTAGATCTTAGGATGGCTGATTTTATGACATTATATGTTAGGATGGGAGATTTTGTGATGTTAGATATTTGGTTGTTAAATGTCGTTGATTGTTAAATATCGTTGATTGTTAAATATCGTTGATTGTTAAATATCTTGATGTTGGATCTTGGGTTGTTAGAAACAATGATGTTAGATTTTTGGTTGTTAGCTATTATAAAGTTTGACCTTACGGTTTGGAATAAATCAAAACTATCAGAGCATAGTTTCTCTTTGAAACCAAAGGACGTTAAATCCATTTCATTTCATTTCATTTCATGTCTCTTTAATACTATATTTCTCCTAATCGTCGTTGATTGAATGGGATTTATCGCACGCCATAAGTTAACACGAAGTTTGTTGATTGATGGATCGTTAATGAACTGACCAGATCAACTGACCACTGGTTGTAACCATCATGACCATCATGATTGACAGCCTAATACAACTGCCGAACATATGAGTTACGACGCTTATTATGACGGCCAGTTTGTCTGCCCACTATATAATTACAAAAATGGCTCTGAAGGCCATAATGGGGAACTCGATTGAAATTCAGAGTCTTATACATTCTTTCCGAAGCTGTGAAAACGCTCTGTAGGTCAGAGTTGTTTCTTTCATTTTTTTAGGCTTACAAATGCTGGGGTTGTTCGGGTAGTCGTAAATAATGGAACATGTTCGTGTGACAGAATTAAAAAAGTGGCGCGATTGTTCTGTTCAACATAAGAAGGAAATCCGTTTTGTTTTTTTCATTTTTTTAGGCTAACAAATGCTGGGGTTGTTCGGGTAGTCGTAAAAAATGGAACATATTCGTGTGACAGAATTAAAAAAGTGCCGCGATTGTTCCGTTCAACATAAGAAGGAAATCCGTTTTGTTGTAGATCATAGTTTTGATGGTTTACTATTCAGATATTGTTTTCAGATAGATATTTATTATTATGTGAAGTTTAAGAGCAACACGCGAATTAAGTACGGTATGATTTCTAATTAGACTATTGCATGGCAATATAAACACACTAATAGGCAAAGAGATTCTCTTTGATTTGAGTCATTTGCGTGCTTTTTTAAATTTGTGATTCGTGATAGGTCAGTCGGTCTACAATAAATAGTTTGTACTTTAACTTTGAAAATCTATTTATATTTGTTCATTTGAAAACCAAATGAAACGAATTTAGCATTTATATTATTATCTGTTTGTTTAGATTTTTATGTTTGCACAACTTTGTGCAGTCAACTTTGAATAAGATTAAAGACTGTACTTCTACCAAAACAATGAAATAATATAATATACAAAAACAATAAAATATAGAACCCACACATTTCTTTTCATCTTTGTTTCACAGTCGATAAATAAAACACATTGTCACGTGTCTCAATACACCATCGAGTTGCAATTAAAGTGGGAATTTGTATCAAATTTTAGTATACGGTATCAGACATAATTAACGATTTCAAATATTATTATTTTAAGTATCAAAACTTACAAAGAGATATGTAGGCGCGTAAAAGTTCGGGAGGCCAACTTATCTCATGGAGGGTAGAAGTTTAGAATTTGGTTCTAAGTTGAAGAAATGAAATAGGGTTTAACTGGTCTGCACCGACTGGGTTAATGAAGACGGGCATACGCCATACAGTGTGCTGTGAGGGAAATTTTGCGTGGGCAGCGGCTCTACGACCTACTCTTATTTCAAGTTCCAACTCTGTCAAGGGTTCATTTACGTGCACGCCAATGTGTACACGGCACTTCGGGTTGTTTTTGTCCCATCCCAACGACTAGACACTGCCCTTATCCATCCTGCACCATCGACAAGGGAAAACCAAGCAGGAAAATTCCAGGAACCTTTCTCCGCCAACACTGGGACCGAACCACAGACCTGCTGGTTAGTGAGCCAGCTCGTGTCGTTGGTTTCGGATACAAAGGTGTAACACAATTTTGTTAGCTTTGTGCCTCAAATTCCACTTCCCAAATGGTTTCACATTTTAAACAAACATGCAGCATGCGACTTCTGAGGCATTTAGCAATAAAGTTTTTATGTAGTTTCAAGTTTCAAGCTCCTGCTTCTTAAATCCAGTAAAAAAATTTATTTAAATTTAGAACAGTTGTTATGTCCTATTTTAATCATAACAAATGACAAGTGTGGTACACAAGACGGGTCTTTGCTGTTCTTTTTAAGACGTTTATTTGATGGGTGTTCAAATGCCTAATACATTTTGTTACTTTCTCTATGTAAAATCTCATAAAATATAAAAAAAAAATTAGGATAATTCAACATAAAAAATAGACAATTCATGCATACGCATAATAAATATGATAACACAATATAAACAATAAGACAATTCAACCTAAAAAATAGGACAATTCAAACTAAAAAAATAGGGCAATTCAACATATAAAAAAATAAAGACAACCCAGCATAAAAAATAGGACAATTAAAAAAAAAAAAAAAAAAAAAAAAAAATAGGGCAATTCAACATAAACAAATTAAGACAACACAACATAAAAAACATGACATTACAAAACAAAAATAGGACAATTCAATATAAAAAAAAATGTAAAACAATGTTTATTCCGATGTTTATCTCTAATATTTCCATAATAAAGTGATATTAATGTTGACAATATTATTTGATCAAGATAAATACCATATTTAATCCGCATACATCATCATCACATGTCGTGTTTATATACATGTAGGTCAATACCAGCATATAAAACACTTTATTCTCAGTTAAATCTCTGTATAAGTACATGAAAACAGTGACGATGTTGTCCATGTTCCAAATAGAAAGAGTATCTGAAAAGGGCAGCCTGTTCACTAGATCTGTGTTCTTGTGAAGCGTAATATCGACAGTGGTTATACTGTACACGAGTTGGAACTACGTTGGAAAATGTTTTAAAGTTTAAAGTTCTTATTGGATTCCGATGTTAAGTTTGGAGCATACCTTAGAACAGGTAGAAATTACATTGTCTGCGATCTAAACTGAAAGTTCATCTGAAACGAATTGCAGTTTATATTACCAATGTGATCTAATTTTAAATAAAGTTATTCGGGTGTCTATCTTATTTGATATAGTAACTCTATTATCTAGTGCATCTGGAAAGAGTAAATAAGCTGAAATTGCTTCTGCACCTCTGCAATACTATAGGATCTAACATTTGAATACAGATATTCTGTAGGCAATCTTATATGTGACAGTATCACAGTAACCCTATTTTCTGCGATCTAAGCTGAAATCGTGCTTTTATAGAGGTGACCAGTTAATAGTAGGAACTGCACTGGAAAGAAATATCTGTAATGAAGTTTAACAATAACGTATTCCGACCAGTTTCTTCATCTTTAACGCAAAGTGATTGTGCAATCTACAATTCTTGTATGAAAGACAAGTAATAGAACACATGATATTAGTAGAAGATGATCAGATACCAGTAGTTAATTATAATGAGTAACGTGTAGATGGTAATTAATTAATTACGATGAAGATAATCATTGACAGCGACACGGTAAGACACGTCTTTACTATTTAACTTTTAATTAATCCTGATTTATCATCATGTCGGCGTGAACATCGTACTACATGACAGCACCATGATACAGCTTCCTGTTATCTATTATTTATCCGCGTTTCGATAAATGGAGTTCCATACTTCTCTATAAAACAAATGAAACGAGATGGGGTTTAACGTCTTACATTTCTGCACTAACCTGGTCAATGAATTTTTTTCTGACACTGGTTGGGGCTATACTATATACCGGAAAACACCGAAAAACACCGAAAAACACCGATGTTTTCCGGTATATAGTATTGCCGCACTGGCTGTGCGACCTATCTTATCTCGATATCCAACTCGAGACCCATGTTTCATCCCACCCGAGCGACTAGATTCTGTTCCTTATCAGGTCCTATCGTACTGCACTACTGACCAATGAAAATCAGACTGGAAAAATCAAGGGGAAAATGTTTTATAGCATGTATTATGTCTAATGATGAAACTTTTAAATAAGACGTTGTTTTAGCTATCTCACGCATGTCTCATGCAGATGGAAATGATGAACGTCTTTACAAGGTCTCATGTAGACGGAAATGATGAAAGTTTTAACTATGTCTAATGTAGATAGAAACGATGATGCTGAAAGTTTAACTTAAGACCCTGTTTGATTTATAGCACGCCTGTCTGTATGATATACAAGAAGTTTGAACTAAAATGTTATGTCAGTTTCATTTATAGCAATGTATCTCATGTATATGAAGTTATAGATCTTCGCATGTTCGTGGGTCTTAACGCCAGCTTCTACCCACGCCACGGTAATATCGCAACCAAAGATTAACCAAGACGCTGCTTTATTTACAGCACACGTGTCTATATGGTAATAATGTAACATTTAACTAAGACGTCAATTCATTTATAGCATTTATCTGTATTGCTGATGCCAAGCTTAGAGCAGAAAACCGCTGCTCATTATCAATAATTTAATATCAAATCTTCGCTTGTCATTCCAATAAAAAACTCACAAAGCATTCTCAGACTTAAAATTGTTCACCTTATGTGAACTAAAATATAGCCTTTTTATTAAACTTTTGTTTTAATGTATCAAATACACCAATAAGAAACTATGTGCAAAGTTTTGTGTTTCTGGATATTTCTCATAAACAGTGATTGAAAGTTGAGTAAATAATATTAACTTAAGTCTGAGAATGCTTTACGAACTCGGGGCCTGATCACACGTTTCCTGTGAAGTAAAACAAATTGAAACTCCATGTTTTAGAATTTATAAATTTAGTGTAACCTTCCTCTTAGGGACGCCGTAGTCGCGGTTTCACTTGCTACACGGTTTGGTTTGGTTCAATCAAAGCTCAGATGGAGAAGCATGTCTGCCAAAGTTGGTTTTAAAAATATTTTATTTCGAGTACAACACGAGTATATACGATACTTATATAATGGATTTGAAAACAAGCCGAAGCTGAATGGTCTGCTAAACTGTCTTTGTTAACAATTAAATAAACATGGTAAAGTGAAAAAAATTCCCATAAGTTTAAATTCTTTTAATAAACCGAGCCACAACTGGGTACCAAGCCATACAGTGATAATATGACTTTTCAGTTGCATCAACCCCTATATGGAGGCCCAATAATTCATTGGTTTGATATGATAGTATTCCTATCGTAATATGTCCCTTTGGTAGTTTAGATGGTTTTCAAGTTTTATGTTTGTGTTGAGTTACCCTTTCCGCCTGTAGATAGATTGAATTACTGGTACAGACGATGTAACTTAGCCCCCGGGGTCTTTCTTTTTTATTCAATAAAATAATTTATCAGTCTACCAAGTTTTTTAGGGATGTATGCATCTATCAAATGGTTTAACGTCCACTCGACACAAACTAGGTCACTTCGGGACTAACACACGGTTCAATTTTTATATCAATATTTGGCCTGCGCGTAGGGTGTTTAGCAGTGGGAGGAAACCGGGGGGCCTGGAGAAAACCCACGAGGTTGTACAGGCGACCCTAATCCCTGTCAAGTACAGACGGGAATCGAAATCACGCCAGTTGACTCAATGACAGACCTTATGATACAGCGTGCACATGCTAACCATTCGGCCATCCCCCCCCACCCCCTTGGAGATATGCAATGCATTATAGTAACATATGTCTATAACAATTTTCCTTATACATGTAACAAAAATTAAGGACTAAAAGATGTTCGATAGTAAGTTCGGTGATTATAAAATATTAAACGTAGATCAGATACCATCTTGGCCCTGATATTTATGGATAGAAATATTCCACTGTTCAGAAATCATTAGAAAGCAATATAAATTTTAGATGGTCATATTATAATTTCGCCAGGAACGACCAACTTGATTAAATGTTGTATCATTATGTTTTGTATGAATACGTTTATATTTGTGGTTTATTCTGGAATACTGGTCCTTTAATCAGTGTCGGGAGGTAGAATGAATTACCCAGATTGGTGACCGAAATTTTCTTTATGAAGATAAAGGGGTAGAGAGAGAGAAATGGGGTTTAACGTCCTCTCGACGACAAAAATTAGATCATTAATGGACTAACATATGGTTCAATTCAATTTCAATAATCTACTTACGGATAGGGATCTTTAGCTGTGGAGGAACCGGAGACAAACCCACGAGGTTGGACATGCAATTCCACACGTTGTCACTTACAAGCGGGCAATCGAAACCAAGCCACTTGACTCAATAACAGCGCGCACTCTTTAACCCGTTCGCACTGTTGATGATATCGTGCTCGCGATAATTCGCCCCTCTCCGCTATGTCATAGGATAAATGGAACTCGAAAATCTGTTTATTTGAGATAGAAATAAAAAAGTGAAAATCCATTTGCTATGTATAAAATGTCGCAGTGTTTGTCCCCCTGTAGAAGTTCGCGTGTTATTTTGTTCCATTGTTTGCAATTCTCCATTTGACTGGAAGCAATCTGTTAATGTAAAACTGATTGATAGTAAAGCATGTTGAACTATAGTTACACTATAAGCATGGGTGGTTACAAACAATGACTCTAAATATTCAATTGCTTAAAGATGTAATATGTAAGATTTAGATAAAGAGCTGGTCGTTCTTGCTATAAAAGTTCAAAAATATATAATAGAAAAAAATGAATATATTGAAAATGCAAGTCAAATTACATTATTCTGAGCGAATGTAAGTGTTTGAAGTCTATAATATGTTATAGCTTAATAGTCTCGATTGCGATAATAAAAAAAAGTCTCGATTATCCAGTTTAATATTAAATTATTAGATGGCGCTGGTGTAATAATCCATTGAAGATCTCGGGTATGAAATGGTCTAGAGAGTTGATTATGGGGTTGGCATGTGAATACATGTCTAAATAACAATTTACATAACATCTGAAGCAAGAACAAAAGACCCCAGGTTCTTTAATAATCCAGCTTTAAGCTCTTAAATAATCCATCTTTAAGCCATATCTTTAAACGAAACAATATTTAATATACTTAAGAACTACATACAGTCCACACATACATTTTATTCTGTAAAATTTGAATGCAAGCCGAATGAGTGTTGTCAATTAAAACTATCTGATGAGAGTAAAGTCGAGACAATGAGGTATGTGATATCAGTTTTAAGACGAGATATTGTATATGGTGACATTGATGTATACCAGAAATATGTGTCCCCTCTGTATCAGATGTAATAGCATGTGTGTGTCTGGCGATTTGTTATAACCTAGTACTCAATTTAATTCATCCCATCTGAGTTCTTTAAGACGACTGTTATTCATTTTTGTCTTGGGATAAAAGGTTTTAGAAAGCCTTTGTAGAAGATGTATTGCAATGGTTTTATTTGCGAAACCCCCAAATACCAATATTTAAAGAATAACAACGAGTTTTGAATTGTCAGTGGACGAACTGATCTTATAGATTTTTATGTCTTAAGAAAGAATTGTCTGGTGAATACAATGTATTTAAACAACTAGACTTGTCAGGCACCCCACATCTATGGAAAACCACACGTACCTGATTTTTTGCGCGATCGTTTAGAATGCTGGCGACAACAGCCCCTGCGGTTACCTTCTGCAATAGTCCCAGCGTCTGAAATGAGTGTGTGCGAGGCAGAGTACAACTACTTTTTCTTGAACAAGGGACACTACGACATTTTTTAAAATATAGTTTGGTTGGTTGGTTGTTTGTTTCTTTTTTGCCTTAGAAAGCTGAATTTATATTTTTTAAAATAACTTCTTAATAACCAGTTTTGTTACGATAAATTTTGTTTTTGGTGGATTATTTATTGATGGAATTGACCACCCAACACGGTATTCAAAGGCGAAAACTCCATTTTATAATATTGGATCGTTGGCGTTTTCTACCTTGCATGAGATGTTTGGACTCTTGGGATGGAAAGAAAGCGGATTTGAAATAACTTCGCAATAGCCAGTTTTTATAAGACATTTAATGGTGCTATTAATTTTGAATTTGGTGCTCTAAAATGTAGTGCTACCCGTTGGCCGAATAAGGTAGGCGGTGCCGCCAAATCGTTTACCACATCCGACACGTGACACATTCCCTGCTACACATCTACTGTTAGCCTGTGATCGTCTAGGTTTGACTCTGACGTGGATATAATTGTAATGCTCTCTTCTCAAGGACTTCATTCTTTGTCTAAATAATCTCAACGGTGTCTGATCTGTAGAGCCCAAGTCTTGCTCTTATATAATCCCCCGATTTCTGCTATTAATTATCCAATTGGCCAATACACCTTATGACGTCAAGAATTACCCAACCTCAAATATGGAAACTGTCCTTGAAAGAACATCTGGTGATTTTCCATCACTAGCACTCTAAAACAATCAGCAAATCAGTCTTGGTTCTTGGACCCCATGTCCTGTTATTCCCATACTATTGAAAATATAAATAATTACGTTTACCCCCCACCCCAACCCCCCAAAAACGAAACAACCACCCCCCACTAAAACACACATACCAAACGTTATTATTCATATATAGAATAA